TTTTTTTTTTTTGAGACAGGGTCTCCCTGTAGCTCCAACTGACCTGGAACTTGCTATGTAGACCAAGCTCACCTCCAACGCACAGAGATCTGCCTGCCTCTGCCTCCAGAGTGCTGGGATTAAAGGTGTGTACCACCATGCCCAGCAAGCCTCTGATTCTTTTAATGAGGTCACACCACTGAGCTTCTAGAAGTCAGCTCACTAGCCCAAGGTAACCCAGAGGCCTATGGAAACCTCAGAACTAGAACCAAGCTCTGTGTGCAAAGTGGTAGCCTGAGTCAGTATTTATAGGAGACCATTCTCATTTACCTGTACTGGTTGTGAAGATTCGATATTCTTCCTTTTCTGCTCTGATGCTTGTTTTTCAACATACTTTGACCTGGACTTGATTTCTAAAATGTCTTGTGCAATTGTTGATTTATTTCTCAATGTAGGAGAAAAGCTGACTTGGTTAGCTATTGTAATTGGCTTATTACTTATGTTATTTCTGGGGATTTTCACTTTCAGAGCAATCTCAGAGAAATCTGAGAGCTGGTAAAGAACTTGACCTTGGCTATATTTGAACGCATTGCTTGAACTTGCTTTTTCAGTCAGCTGTTTTGGAGTTGTCTGACACAGGCAATTTTTTTGTTTATCACCTGAACCTTTAATTCTACTTAGAAAGTTTGAATCTTCTTGGTGGTGGCTCTCTCCGGCAGCCACTTGGTCTTCTAAATTGGAGGTATTTTCTTCTGTAGTCCCTGGAGAACAACTAGGATTCTTGCTGTTCTTTGCACCACTCTGGGGGCTGGGTTGGTCAGTGAATTCTGGGGTTAGTGTTTTTGGGCGATAACTCTTAACACAATGTGAAATGCTATTTTTAACAATAGCTGCTTCTTCTAAATTGTCAGCATTAGGAATCTCTGGGAGAGTTTCACAGTCAGTGCCTCGACCCCTTAAGCACTGCTCCTTGGAGAGATGAGGGAATAAAATATCTGAAATGTTTGGCTTTGCAGTATCTCCTCTATTTGCTGGAATACAAGAAGTCAAGGTTCCTTGTTTCTCTTTATTGCTTCTGGTGTTGACATTTTCATTCATCTTATCCCATATCGCAGCCACAGCTGTGTTGTGGCAAGTCTCTTGACCTGTAGCCTTTCCTAGAGAGTCTTCTGCCATAACCACTTCATCTGAGACATTAAGGGTTCATTTTTTGAGGCAAACTTGTAAGAACTGCATGTCTTCATCTGGGAGAGATCACCGTCATAAGGCAAGTCTTCCTGTTTACAGGTTGTATCTTCTGAAAAGTCAGTTTCGTCCATGGTTGTGTGAGTTGATGTCTGTGGTCCCCTGTTGTCTAGCCTTAGTGTTCTTAATGGTCACAGTATGCTTTCTGGTTTTCATGGGTGTCTGCATTTATGTTTTATGCTGTAAGAAAGGAGAACAGCTATTAAATATATTAGAATAATGTATAAAACTATGCTTATTCTGGTATCTATGCAGGTACAAAAAAGGATATATTTAACTTAGAGAACTTTAGTTACAGACTTGAAAGCAGAAAGCTCAGCCGGGAACTAACTCATTCTAAATACTATTAAAGAAAGATGGAAGGTTGTAATTTTCACTGAGTTTTGAGGGAGGTGTGGTTAATAGTTGATGATCACATTTTTACCATTCTCCTTTAGGAAATACTATTTGAAGTTTGTTATCCCAGAGTGGGAGCTTGAAATATAAGCAAAGTATTCTTCAAAGGCAGCTATGCTCACCACTATACCACCAGTGCAACAAAGTGTTCTTTAAAGTACCCAGCCGCTGCTTGTCTGCATGTCACTGACACCTCTGGGGTACAGGATGCTGGAAGCTCGCTCGGCTCATATTGTGGCCACTCACCTCTCTTCTGTTATTGGTTTTCGGGGTTTTTTGACCCGCCCCCTCCCACCCTTGGGTTTCTTTTTAAACATATTTTGTTTTAAAATATTTTATTTTTTATTTTATGTGTATGAATGTATTGCCTGAATGTTATGCAAGTACACCCGTGTTGTGCAGTGCCTGCAGTGGTCAGAAGAAGGTGTTGGATTCCCTTGGAACCGGAGTTGTGGACGGTTGTTAGCCCCTGTGCTGGATAGCTTTAGTGTCAACTTGACACACCTGGGTTGAAGGAGACTCAATTGGGGAATTTCCTTCATTGGACTAGCTTATGGCCATCAATGGCCTGTGCTCCAGTCCCTGCCTCCAGGTTCCTGCCCTGAGTTCCTACCTTGGGCTCCCTGGTGAACTGTGACCTTGGAGATGTAAGACAACTAAACCCTTTCCTCCCCTAGTTGGTACTGGTGAGAGTATTTTGTCACACGAATGGAGAAACAAACTAAGACAGCCCCCATGTAGGTGATGGGAATCAAACCCAAGTCCTCTGCAAGAGCAGCCCTGAGCCATCTGTCCAGCCCTGTATTTTATTTTCTAATTGGCACATAATAATGGTACATACTTGATATATGTATATATGTGTAATAAAATTAGTATATTTTTCACCTTGAATATTTGTCATTTTGGGGTGAAATGTTCAAAATTTTCTAGTGATTTTGAAATGTATCTATCATTTAAAGTATAGTTTTCTCACTGTATAATAGAATACCAGAACATTCCTTCCTAGCCTAACTTTGTAGTCATTGAGTCCTCCCTATCCCTCACACTCTTCTGCGACAACTCTGCTAACTAGTGTTCTGCTCTATCCTTCTATGGAACCAGCTCTTTTAAATTATGGAGAGAGAGAGAGAGTGAGAGAGAGAGAGAGAGAGAGAGAGAGAGAGAGAGAGAGAGAGAGGCGTGCTTATACCGTGCGTGCATGTGTGTGTGAAGGCCAGAGGTGAATGTCAAGTGTCTTCCTTAATTGCTTTCCATCTTGTTTTGAGGCAGGATCTCTTGCTGAACCTGGTGCTTGTCAATTTGATTAAATTGGCTGACCAGCAAGCCCCAGGGATCCTCCTGTCTCTGCCTCCCTCCCTAGCATTGGGTTTACTGGCATACCCCACCATGCCCAGCTTTTTAGGTAGGTGTTGGGGCTCAAACTCAGGTCCTCATGCTTACCTAGTAGACACTTTACCAACTGAGCCATCGCCCCAGCCTCATATCAGCTTTTTAAAAAAATTTATTTATTATTTTTATTTTATGTGTATGTGTGTATTGCCTGCATGTAGGTAAGTGCAATGCCCACAGAGGTCAAAAGAAGCTGTCAGATCCCCTGGGACTAGAGTTATGGACAGTTGTTAGCTGCCATGTGGGTGCTGGGATTTGCACCTGGGTCTTCTGCAAGAACAACCAGTGTTCTTAACCGCTGAGCCATCTCTCCAGCCCCAAGATCAGCTTTTTTTTTATTCCACATATCAGTGAGACCGTGCACCCCTCGTCTTTCTGTGCTGGCTTATTTTACCTCATGTATGTCTTCCCACTCTTTCCTATGCTTCCTGACATTTCGGGCCCCTTTGTCTGATTTCTCCTTGTGTGTCTTAGAAGAACGGACAGAAATATGACCAAGGGAGGCACATAGGTCTTTCGAACATCTGCAGGCCAGGCTGCAGCCAAACATCCTTCATCTACTACAGCTGGGACAGGAGCCTTGGCAGTGTGGCCTTGCCTGGGCAAATCCCTAGCAGCTGCCACTGCCCAGAGGGCAGTGTGATGGCAACAGACCGTATCAAGGGACAGTCCTGAAAATGGTTAAGAACCACCGGCTACTGTTGGGTATGAATCCTTTTTGTAAAAGAAAATTTAAAACATACATTTAGAAGATCGCTTAGCTTGACTGATGGACTTTCAGCACAATGCCTTAGTGGTAAAATCATCCCAGCTTTTAGGTGGAGTGACTGAAGTTATTGCTCCCCGAGAGCACCAGCCAGCCTCTGAGGTTGCTAGCCTCCTGCCCATCTGATGATGGGGTTACAGAACAGGTCTTTGAGGGATGCCTCATCCAAATTTTCTTGATCTAAGAACTTATGATTTATTAGTTAACCTCAAAAACTAAAATAATATGTTTGACCAAAAAAATTAAACTAAGTTACTCAAGAACAGAGGAGTACGAACTATGTGGTAAAGGCATCTGTGAAACATTATACAAAGATCTTAGTTTATAGATACATGCCAGTGTTACAGAACTCAGAACTGAGAATTTCTTCCTTCTTTTTCTCTTTTTCTGTGGTCACATGTCTTCCCTCATATGCATGCCAAGTCTTCAAATCTTCCTCCTTTTTTTTTTTTCTGGTTTTTTGAGACAGTGTCCCTGTAGCCCCAGCTGGCCTAGAACTTACTATGTAGACCAAGCTGGCCTTGAACTCACAGAGATCTGCCTGCCTCTACCTCCCAAGTGCTGGGATTAACAGCATATTACACTATGCCCAGCCTAGAACTCAGATTTTCAAAGAAAGAAAACTGCTTTGGAGAGAGGAAAGGGAGAACATGGTCACAGGATTGCTCTACGTCATTTATATAGAGGCCAAGGCTCCTGTGGTGTGAGGAAGGCACATCTCTGAGCAGAATTACAGGTTTCTCCAACCCAAGTTGAAGAACAAGGGGACTACTTTCCCAGGGGTGTTTGAAGCCTGAGTTTGATTCTGGCTCCTCCACTCATTGGCTGTGTAGCATCTGGAAAGTTACTTAACTCTTTCCTCCTGTTACTCCTCCTCTTCCTCCTCTTCTTCCATCTCTTCCTTTTCCTTTTCCTCTACTTTTCCTTTCTCTTTTTATGACAGGGTCTCACCCTGTTGCCTGGCTGGCCTCAAACTCCTGGGCTTAAGTGGTCCTTCTGTCTCAGCCTCCCAAGTAGCCAGATCTATAGGTGAATGCCATTGTGTCTAGTTTTATTTAGCTTTTCTGAGTCTCTGTTTCTTCTGAAAAACAGGAGCAACAAAGCCTGGCTCACAGGATTGCAAGATGATGGTATGACATATCACATGTGAAGCACATGGCATGGCACTAAGCATGGGATGAGAGTACAGCTTACAGCCACTAGTGAAAGAGATGTACTCTTGCCCTGGAGTGTGTTACTGAATATGTTAAAGCTGTAATGAAATGCTTCTTCTAATCATGTAGTTATTAAAAATTAAAATAATAATAAAGTATTTTTTCAAAAAAAAAGAAAGATCAAGGGCTGGCAAGAAGGCTCAGTGGGCAAGGCTGCTTGCCCACAAGCCTGGTGACCTGAGCTTGATCCCCAGGAACCACATGGTGGAAGAAGAGAACCAACTCCTGTAAGTTATCCTGTGATCCCCCCCTCAAATAATTAAAGTTAAAAACCATCTTTTTTGGAGGGAGTTCTTTTTGAGACAGGGTCTCCCTGTAGCCCCAGCTGACCTGGAACTCATTATGTAGACCACGCTGACCTTGAGCTCACAGAGATCCGCCTGCCTCTGCCTCCCAAGTGCTGGGATTAAAGGCATATGCCACCAATGCCCCGCTAAAGTCTAAAAAATATATTAAAAAGGAAAAAGAAAAGAGCAAGCCAGATAAGCCAGAAGCCTAAGGAAGTCTCTCACGACACACAGAAAAACAGCTTCTGTTGTTATTGCTATAAAAATCATTATTACTATTATTTCCGTGTGCATATATACAAAATATCAAGAGGACTTCTTCCAGTAAAACGCATCCCACATCAGCATCAGCATTGTAATGTATCCCTTACATGTAGCTGGAAGGAACCAGAGCATCTTCTGTGACAACACCCAGCTCAATCTTGGAATCTGAAGGTGTCTTCCAGGAGATCTGGTCAGAACCCAACAGAATGTCTGGGACCACAACTTCCCAGAGACTGAACTGAACATTATGTGGTCAGCAGTGGCTCATAGTCACTCTGCACAGCAGAGGAGGGCCTGTGCCCCAGCCTTTGAGAACACCTGTCGGCACTGAGCAGAGATGAACATGTGATCACCATGCTGATGACACGTCCCAGTGTGGGTTACGTCATGAACTGGATTCTGAGGGGCTGACCTAAGCCCACTGACTTGCCTGTGTAAAAGGGTGGCTGGGATGGCTGGACTCTGAGGAATCAATTAAGTATATCTGTAATTTCAGAAACTAAAATTACTTCGTGTGGAGGCAAAGATGGTCAATGCACCATCATTCTAGCTGGTATGTGGTATTTCTTCCATTTACTAGACCAGATGAGCGACAGCACAACTTTACATTATGGGAGAACTGTTCTTTCGTTTTGTTTTTTTAATTTATTATTTTTATTTTATGTGTATGCATGTATTGCCTGCAAGTAGGTAAGTGCACCCGTGTTATACAATGGCCGCAGCGGACAGAAGAAGCTGTCAGATCCCCTGGAACTGGAGTTAGGGACAGTTATTAGCTGCCATGTGGGTGCTGGGATTCAAACCCAGGTCTGCAAGAACAGCCAGTGTTCTTAACTGCCGAGCCATCTCACCAACCCCAGGGAGAACTGTTTTAATCAATGGAGCTATGTTTCTTTGTTTTTTATAATACTGGGGATCGAACACAGGGCTTTTAATGCATGCTAGACAAATACACTACCACTGAACTGCATCCCCGTCTTCGGTTTCCTTTTTTTTTTTTTTTTTTTTTTTTTTAGATAGGGTCTCATGTATCACAGGCTAGCCTTTAAGAATCACCTTGAACTTCTGATTCTCCTGTTCCCTCCTACTTAGTACTAGGATTGCAGTTGTGCCACATCATGCCCAATTTATGCAGTGCTGGGAATGGAACCAAGGGCTTCGTGTGTGCTAGTCAAGCACTCTACCAATTAAACTATACCCCGAGTTGCATTTTACTTAAAAAATTTTTTGGTTTATTATTTTATGTATATGTATTGTGCCTGCATGTAAGTGCATCCATGTCATGCAATGCCCAGGAAGGTCAGAAGAGGTTGTCAGATCCCCTAGAGCTGGAGTGATGGATGATTGTTAGCCACCATGTGGGTGCTGGAAATCAAACCCAGGTC